CTCAGTCTTTCCTAAGATGGTGGCTCCAGGAGTAGCTGAGCATCTTAAATTAGAAAGCAATGAATTTCTTGCTTCTGCTATAAATTCCCCTAGCTGTAAGCTTTCCAAACTTCTAAATATTCCTTAATGTGTGGTTCAGAGTTTTGGGACCATCCCCTGAGCCTGCTTGGTCCAGCATTCTGTGTTGCTGCTGACGGAGCTCCTTCCTGTAATTCTACCTGATCCGCCATCTTGTTTGTTCTCTTGTTTGTTATTTTTAGAATACAACTGTGTCAGTAGTTTTCAAGATAATTTATAGAGCTTTAAAGCATTTTGGATCATTTTTATTTATGATCTTATGAAAAATATTAAACTCAACGCTTGTATTTTAAAGCTTCATTTATTATAAGTCCAGGGTGCTGAAATCATTTTGTTGCATAATCATGCCGCATTCTAAGGTAGGTGATCCTTTTGCCCTTCACTTTGTGCATGTAAATTCTTCAAAATATGAGCTTGGTATTCTTTATATTTACAGAGTTCATAGTCATTTTCTTCATATTTTTATAGATACATTTTAATTGTTAAATAAATATTTAATATTTTCTAAACATTTATGGTGTATACATAAAGAACCAATTACAGGTGTCTACTTTTGTTAATCTTGGTTATTTCCTCCTAAGGGTACTGTGGAGCACTGCATAATCGGAGTGATGATCCTTTCAGAATTAACGCAGGAAATGAACCTGGTAAGCATTTTCAACTAATGAGATGTAAAGTTTGTTAATGCACTGCTGTATTTCCTCCTCTTTTTTTTTTTTTCTTTAAAGTTATAATTTGTAGTTTGTGAGACTGAATGATTTTGTTTTTATTTCCTCCTCTTTTTTTGTGGCAAAATATATAATCTTTATGCAATATAAAAATGATTGACCCAGTATTTTTTGCTTTTTGGGTCTCTTTATTGGTGGGGTAATTAGGTATTACAAGACTTTTGTTGTGATTGAAAATATCAGCACTAGAATAAATAGTACAAAGAACAGGGAATCAGACAAACTCTTTGCTCCATGGACAGTTGGAGTAGTTTCCTTTTATCCTTGGAGAGAAATATAGTAACTGAAGCAATTTTATACAAAAGATAAGGAAACCTTTATTCACATACAGATAGAAGACATTCAGTTTGGTGAATTGTTGCTAAATCGTGGGCACATTGCCGGACTTATCAAAGAACAGACCACTTGGTACTTTGTCACTTGCTGGGTATTATTTTTCCCCTGCACAAGGAGAGTTCTCAGAAGCGCCTCCTCCCTCAGTAGTTTTGTAGGAGCTCAGCAGCTTGAGCACATGATTCCCTGTTCCTGTTCACGTTTGCTTTTAATATAAAAACAGAAGCTGTTTCCTAATGGAATAATTTTGATAAAATAAAAAATATAGTGTTTAACTATTAAAATTGTCATCATTCTCAATGATAAACATTTGGTGTGTATGTACACACATATGCATACAAAGTCATTCTTCATGATAAGTGAATTCTGCATTTGCATATAAGCCTTTTGTGGTTGTGTGCCATTGATTCGGTTGCAACTCCCAGTGACCCTGCCTAGTGTTTCCTAGGCTATAAATCTTTAAAGGAGCATAAAGTCTCACTTTTGTCCCTCAAGGATCTGGTGCATTTGAACTGCTGACTTTGGTGTTAGCTGCTCAAATGCATAACCCGCTATGTTACCAAGTTGGTAAAATTTATTTGTAATCCTAAAGTCAATACTTGAAGTGTTTTCCTACCCATCTGTGGGTATACACAAAGCTGCACAAGATTTAAGTTGCCTGATGTGCACTTTTCCAGCTAATGTTGAACAAGGTGACTTACTGCTGTCTTGTTTTGGCTCTCCTCCTGTAATCAGCTGACATTTCTGTAGTCTTGTCAGTGTCATGATTTTTGCCTTTTAGGGCTTTTTGTTGAGGATGTCACCATTTAAAAATGGCCTTCAAGCATAGTGCTGGAGTGCTGTCTAGTATTTCAAGCAGTCTGTAATGTACCTTGCTGAGAAATTGTGTTAGAGAAACTTGTTAAGGCATGGGTTTTAGTATCGATGACTGAATTCAGTGTTAATGAATCAACACTAGATATATTCAATATGGTATTTTTTAAACAGAAATACATATAAAACAAGGTTATGTACAAGAGTCCTGGTGTGGTGCTGCAGGTTAGTGCACTAGACTGCAAGGTTGGTTTGTACTGCAAGGCTGGGGGTTCAAGCTGACCATGTGCTTGGAAACCCTGTACAAGGTCATTATAATGAGTTAGAACCGACTCTGACACTTAAACACAAATATAATGTATTGACTGTGTGAAAAAAAAATGTGATCAAGACTCGTAAGAACTTACCTCCATATGTACCTTAAAAACGTGGTTCAGTGTTTGTTAATTCAGCGTTCACTATAAGAACATAACTACCATAAGTAATGAGAATCAACTATATGTATGTTGTTGTTAGGTGCCATCAAGTCAGTAACTACTCATAGTGACCTTATGTACAAAAGAACAAAACACTGCTTGGTCCTGTGCCAATCTTGCAGTCGTGGCTACTTTTAAGTCCATTGCTGCTGCCACTGTTGCAGTCCATCGTGTTTGTTGTTGTTGTTATGTGCCGTGGAGTCGATTCCGACTCATAGCGACCCAGTACAGGGTTTTCGAGGCTGTAAATCTTTACGGGAGCAGAAAGCCTCATCTTTCTCCCACAGAACAGCTGGTAGTTTTGAACTGCTGGCCTTGCGGTTCGAACACCTGATTCGTAACCACTACGCTACCAGAGCTCCTTTTTGTTTTTGGGGTCTTCTTTTTCACATACCCTCCACTTTACCAAGCATGATGTCCTTTTCCAGGGACTGGTCCCTTCTTATAATATGTCCAAACTACTAGAGACATGGCTTGGTCATCCTGGCTTCTAAGGAGCATATGATTGTACTTCTTCAAACACAGTTTTGTTTATTCTTTTGGCAGTCCATGGTGTGTTTAATATTCTCCTCTGACACCATAACTCAAATGCATCAATTCTGCTATGGTCTTCAGTATTCATTGTCCAACTTTCACATGCATATGAGGCTACTGAAAATAACATGGCTTGAGTCAGGCGAATCTTAGTTCTCAAAATGATGTTTTTGCTTTTAAGTACTTTAAAGAGGTCTCGTGCAGTAGATTTATCCAATGCAATAAGTCGTTTGATTTCTTGAATGCTACTTCCATGAGTTTTGATGGTTGATCCTAGCAAAATAAAGTCTTTGACAACTTCAATCTTTTCTCCATTTATCATAATGTGACTTATTGGTCTAGTGGTGAGGATTTTTGCTTTCTTACATTGATGTGCAACCCATATCGAAGGCTGTGATCTTTGATCTTCATCAGAAAGTATTTTAAGCCCTTTTCACTTTCAGTAAGCAAGGTGGAATCATCTGTATATTGCAGTCTTGCAAACGTGGCTACCCTTGAGCCCATTACTGCTGCCACTTTTCATGTTTTTTTTCTTCCTTGTCTTCTTAATGACCTTTTGCTTTCTTCCCATATGATGTTCTTGACGTCATCTTGTAACTCTTCTGTTGTGAGATGACTTCTTTGATCATTAGTATCTACTTAATCAAACTGCTCTTGAGATGATCTTTTAAATTCAGGTGGGATATATTCAAAATAATTTTTGGTTATTGTGGACTTTTGATTTTTCTTCAGTGTCAGCTTGAACTTGCATATGAGCAATTGATGGTCTGTTCCACAGTTGGCCCCTGGCCTTGTTTTTGCTGATAATATGGAGCTTTTACACCATTGATTTCCACAGATGTAGTCAATTTGATTTCTGCGTATTCCATCTGGTGAGGTCCATCTGTATAGTCATTTTTTATGTTGTTTATAAAAGGTATTTGAAACGAACAAGTCATTAGTCTTGTGCAAGATTTTATCATGCAATCTCTCACATTGTTTCTGTCACCAAGACCTTATTTTCCAACTACTGATCCTTCTTCTTGTTTCTAAAATTTGCATTTTAATATCTAGTAATTATCAATACATCTTGATATTGCATTTTTGATCAATTTCAGACTCAAGAAGTTGGTAGAATTCTTTAACTTCATCAACACTGCGTTTAGTGGTTGGTGTATAAATTTGAATAATACTTGCATTCACTGATCTTCCTTGTAGATGTATGAATATTATCCTATCACAGACAGCTTTGTACTTCAAAATAGATCTTGAGAGGTTCTTTTAGATGATGAAATTTGATACCATTCCTCTTCAATTTGTCATTCCCGGCATAGTAAACCACATGGTTGTCAGATTCAAAATGACCAGTGCCAGTTCATTTCAGCTCACTAATGCCTAGGATATTGATGTTTATACATTCCATTTCATTTTTCCTAGATTTACACTTTGTACATTCCTTGTCCTAATTATTAATGGATGTTTACAGTTGTGTCTCCTCTTTTTGAACTGTTCCTCATCAGCAAATGAAGGTCCCAAAAGCTTTACTTCCTTTATGTCATCATGGTCAACTCTACCTTGAGGAGGCAGCTCTTCCAGAGTCATTTTTGGAGTGGCTTCCAACCTGAGGGGCTCATTTTTTGGCACTATGTCTGACAGTATTCTTCATCATGTTTCAATATTTAATGTTCTGATGCTATCTGACAGTGTTCCATTGCTGTTCATAAGTTTTTCAGTGACTAAAGGTTAGAAACAAAAACGAAGGATCAGTCAATGAAGTATATAGCCTTGGTGATATAAGCGATGCTGGAGATTATGGTATGATAGAATTTTGCAAGACCAATGACTTCTTGATTGCAAATACCATTTTAAACAAAATACCAGATGACTGTATACATGAACCTCACCAGATAAATACACAGAAATTAAATTGACTACATCTGCGGAAAGAAATGGTAGAAAAGCTCCATATCATCAGTCAATGTAAGTCCTGGGAGACTGTGGAATAGACCAACAATTGCTCATATATGCAAGTTCAGGGTGAAGCTGAAGAAAATTTAAACATGTCTATTAGAACCAAAAAGTGATTTTGAACATATTAAATCTGAATTTAGAGATCATCTCAAGAACAGATTTGATGCTTAGACACTAATGACCGAAGATCAGAAGAGTTTTGGGATGACATGATGAACATCATACAGGAAGAAAGCAAAAGATCATTAAGACGAACAAGAAAAAGACCTAAATGGATGTCTGAAGAGACTCTGAAATTTGCTTTCCAATGTAGAAATTCTGGAGAAATCATATGTAGAAATGAGGAGGTAAAAGAGTTGAATAGAAAATTTCAAAGGCAGCTTGAGAAGATAAAGTCAGATATTACAGTGAAATGTGCAAAGGTCTGAAATTAGAAAACTAAAATGGAACAACATGCTTAGCATTTCCCAATCTGAGGGAACTGAAGAAAAACTTCCAGCCTCTATTTTCAATATTGAAAGATTTGATTGGCAAAAAGTTGAATGACACAGAAGCATCAAAAGAAGACGGAAGGACAGGGAAAACCCCCTTTTAAGACTAAAACTCAAAGGGAACCAGCCAAGTATGCTTGCTAGTAACTACCCTGGTCTGTTTGTGAGTGGAAATAGGGGAAATGTGGTAACGAAGACCTGGGCTGAGTTAGGCCATGTTCTATTGACACCTATTGACTTTGAGATGAGAGAGAATGAAGAGGAAGGATGGGCTGGTCTGGAGTTTAGGGTGAGAGCTGAGAGTGAAGCAGCCAACGGTTCT